TTCTTGATCTCTTCTTCTGTCACTTGGGCCACTAAATTATCATTTTGAGCTGCAGTAATGGTGGCAGGAATGTGGTTGAGGATGTTCCCAATATCAGCAGATCCTTCAGATGTGAATAGCTTTTGGTAGAAAGCTATGAGGCAATCAAATATTTCTTCTATGGTGGAACATACTGTTTGGTCCTCTCTTATTATTCTGGAAATGGCATTTCACTTCCTTCTTTGGAGTGTGAATGCGTGGAAGAACTTCGTGTTCTTGTCACCTTCTTTGAGCCATAACACTTTGGACTTTTGTTTTCAGAAGAGCTCCTCAGCTTGATATGCCTCATCTAACTGTTGTTTGAGCAGGTTACACCTCTCCCAGTTTCTATCTCCTTCTTGTTCTCTCAACCCACTAATCTCGGCTGTGAGTTTTTCAATAGTCTTGGCTGATTCAGTTTTAAATGTTCTGCTCCACTTCAAGAGTGCTACTCTAGTAGCTTTAATTTTTTCAGTAAGTCTGAACATTGGAGAGCCACTTGTTTGTTGGTTCCAGTCCTTTTGGATTTCTTCTTTGAAGCCTGGTTTCTTGAGCCACCTCTTATCAAAGCAAAACTGTCTTTTCTTGGTCTCTTGTGTATTGCCTATGTGGAGAAGAAGGAGGTTGTGGTCAGAGGCACTTCTAAAAATATTGACAACCTTTGCTTCTGGATAAGACTGAAGCCAGTGCAATGAGGCCACCATCATATCTAGCTTTTCCTCAATGTACCCTTCAGCAGGTCTGTTGTTGCCCCAAGTGAAGGGGTAGCCCTCCATATAAATTTCCTGCCCTCCCTAGTTTGCTAAACAGGTTCTGAAACCCCAGAAACTTGCTTCAGGTCTGTGTCTCCCTCCATTCTTTTCCCCTTGACATAGTATGTCATTCCAGTCACCTGCAATGACCCCTTTGTTGCCCCAACTATCTTTTGCATATTTAAGGTAATGCCATTGCTCTATTCTGATTTTCCTGCAAGGGATCAGATAAACAAAGATAAACCAGGATTTTTCATAATTAGAGGAAAGACTGAATTCCACTTCAATACAAAAGGATTGACATTTTAGCTGATGGATGATTACATCCTTATTTCAAAAAACAAGTAAACCTCCTCATTTGTTAATAGGATCAGAGGTAACCCACCTATCTTCAACACCCAAGTTCCTACATATAGTAGTAATAATTTTTTTAGATTTTCTAGTTTCACATAAGAAAGCAAAATTTGGGTGGTGGGGTCTCTAGGATTCCTTGAGTTGGGGAATTGTAGAGGGCCCACCCAGACCTCTACAGTTCTACATCATGCCTGTCATTTATCCACCTGGGGCCACTTAAGGCTGGCTTCCACCACATTTGTATCCAACATTTTTTGTTCCTTGTTGGGGCTGTCTTTAATGTCTGGGTCTGCTGTCTGATTGGAGGTCTCAGTACCTGCTGGCCAGTTTCTTTTTCTACTTTCTGAGGCAACATGATGTTTTTGTGGAGTGCTTGGAGTATTGGCACTTCCTGCTTTTTGCCTGCCTTCTGGTCCATTTCCTCTTGGTTTCTTGGGTGCTGATGCTATTTTGTTTTTCTTCTATTACTGATTGGTGTGGTGCAGACACAGAGAAATCCATTTGCTGCTCCTTTCCAGAGGATGTGGCATTGTTTTCAAAATTGAGTAGAGCGACTTTATTTGCTGGTTGCACACTGGCCATAGGAGTCTAGGTTGGTGAATTGGTTACCAGAGCTATGTCCATCGAGTTGTCTTCTCATTGAGAGGCACATTTGAGTTGCTAGTATTAACCTCTTGCTGATATCCAGTTGATGAGTTGCCTTGAGGATTGTGAGTTTCCTGAAGTTGACACTGTATCTGAGGATCTGTTAGGTCGGGGTTAAGAAACTCCTTCAGTAGCCTTTAACCATTCACCATATTGGCCTTCTACTAATGTTCCATTTGCAATGTCCTCCTATCTTGAAGCGTAGGTTCTGTCAAGATGGCCAATTTTTCCGCAATAGTAGCACAAATTGATTAATTTTTCATATCTGAAATCAATTCTTCTGACTTTATCTCCGAGTTTGATACTGGTGCATCGTAGCAGCGACTCATTTAGGTCAATAGTAACCAACAACTGGAGATATCTTCCACAGTTACCAGTGCCCGTGCTAATGGTCACATTTTTCACATTTTTGAATAGTTTGCCTATCTTTAATCCTACTTCAGAGGTAAGCCAGTTGAGAGGGATATTGTTTACCTGGACCTAGAGGTCTATCTCTCTGAAGCAATCATGATTAGCAGCCAGGTCGTCATGCCATTCCTTTAAGATGATGTATTGATTTTCAAAATACCAGTTTTTACCTGCTGCAACCTTGTTCTTCTCTGTTTCTGAATCAAAGATGAACTGGAAGAAGTTTGGCTCAATTTCTCTAACTGTAAGTGTGTGTTTGAGCTGCTAGATATGCGCCATAGTTTTTTTGAGCCCAAATAGATGTGCTTTCCGATCGCCGACTATTTTCCCAAATAAACTGCGTTTACATTCATCAGCACTGAGTCTGACATCAGAGGGATCTAGATCGGTGATGTTTTTCTCTTTTTATGAGAGGGAAAAATTTTGCAGTCGATTGGTAAGATCGTCTTACAACGCGAGAAGGCTAAAGGAAAAAATGGGGAAATATAACAGTGGAAATAGAGTAGGAATTAGGACGAGCGATCAGAGGAGGTGAGGAAAAGGTAATAAGCGAGATGAAATCCACCGAAAACGGGTAATTGATAGCAAGCTCCCAAGAGGAGAAAACCCTAACCTTAATCGTAATTGTACATTTTCACTTAAAACTTTTGGAGTCGAACTCGAGCCAAGCTCGAGCTATTGTAATTTTTTATCGAGTCCAGCTTGAGCCTAAAAAATCGAGCTCAACGAACTCGAGCTCGAGCTCGAGCAGTTGAAAAAAAACTCAATCCTTCTCGATAAGGTCAATGTTCGGCTCAGTTCAACTCATTTGCCGCCTTATTTCCAAGTTCCAACCATTATTAATCCGTAGATTGGTTCTATAAATTAGGAAATGAATAAATTAATTATTTGTTTATCAATACTGTCATGATTAAAATTAAAATATTAATATTTTTAAAATACTATAACTATATCATGTCAGCATTAAAAATAGATAAAAAATATTTTATTTTGTTTATGATATTATAAATACACTAGTACTTGTACTAATCAATGGTGTGATTGTATATAAATTCAATAGTAAAAAATCCAATCAAAATTCAAATTTAACTCAACTTTAACTCTATCCCGCTATCTTCAATATTAATCCTCCCTATATATTATTCCCGAATGCGCTGAGCCTACGTGGCTGTTTCTGGTGTTTCGAAATCTTACTTGGCAAAGAATCATGCTTCTTATTCCCGAATGCGCTGAGCCTACGTGGCTGTTTCTGGTGCTTCGAAATCTTACTTGGCAAAGAATCATGCTTCGTAATTAGGTTTGGACAAATAATATTAATATATTAATAATTAATAATCTAGGTTCGGACATTCCATAAATATTATTTAGCTAACTTAGGTATTTTAATATAACTTTTACTAATATAACCCTTTAATTCTTTGTAATTTTACATAGTGAGACACTAAGTGACTAATAAATCCCTGACTGTTGATTTGTTTTCCTTCAATTAGCTATTGAATTGTAAATGTATTTTAAATGTTGATAATTTTTGTATTTCTTATCGGTTTTACATATATAATATATCAAATTAATTATCTTTTGATGATTTTCGATTTGACATCCATATTGTATATATGAAATAAATAAATCATATTTATCTTTATAATAATAAAAAATAATAATATTTATTAAAATTCATTAGAAAAATAAAATTATTTCTGAATTGATATGTAGTTACATGTTGTAAGTCAAAAAAAATATTATAATATAACACATGTAAGTCGCACAAATAAAAAAATGTCATACTAAATATATAATAATATATATATTTTTATAAAATGTATTCAAATTTTCATTTACTTTTTCTCATTAATTTTAGATTTTAATAAAAAAAATTAGCAAGTACCCGTGTAATACACGGGCGTTGTACTATAATATAATTAAATAATATCAACCAACCATTCCTACACATCACATCAATTAACTTTAATTCACTATTCATCCACTCACATAATTCTAACTAATTATCACTTCCAATCATTTTTCTCCTACTTTACATCAAATCAGCTTTAATTATTTTAATATATCCATTAACAACTAACCACACCACCTTTTTTCAAAATTAACTATAGTTAAAAACAAACCAAATAAAAACTAGTTCTTTACTATTCAAACTATAAACAATAACCATCCTAATATTAAACCATCTTTGATATTTTTAACAACGTATTGTCATAAAACTTTTTTTTTTTCCCGAAACGACAGAGATAATATCATAAAAACTCAACGAGGACATAGTCCTAATACATTGTTCAGAGTACAATGGCGATACAAACATAAAAAGTGAGAGACACATCCTAGATGGTCTAGAACCTCTACAAGAGGAAAAAAATAAAACTGAAATAGACAGAAAATCCAAAGAACAACCTCCTTCTACTGCTAAAAGCCTAGAAAGGGAGTTGAACTCCAAAAAAGAAAAACAAGCAAAAGACTAAATACAGACAAATCAAGCCAACAGTCCAAAAGCTGAGGTGAAGTGTGTCCAGTCTGAATGAGCCACCTTTACCACAGCTACTGCTGGCATCATGGATCTTTGAAATACCCACAAGTTGCTTGACTTCCAAAGCCACCAAAGAATGTATGTGGATAGCTGAATTCTAGCTTCGGCAACTTCAGAAAAATGTTGGTCCTTCTACAAAAATAATAAATTAATAGAAAAATGATAATCTGCAATTTCGTTTGCTTGCTCAACAAGCTATTCCGACTTTATATCGTCAGCTTCATTTCAACACTCGCTGATAATCGGCCAATCATCGCCGGCCCAAATTCCGAAATCCTCCCGCCATGGCCATGGCCGCCAGATCTGTCGCCGCCCTTTTCACCGCCGCCAGTTTCCCTCCATTTCGCCACGCGAAACCCCGTTCTTTCTCCGCCGTCGCCGCATCATCCACCCTCCGGCCAATCACTCTCATCGGGCCGCCTGAAATCTACCTACACCCGGTCGTCTCCCCCAAACCCTCCACTAGTCCCGCCCTTTCCTCTGCCGCAACCGTCGAGGAGAGGGATTCCCTTTCAGATCTAGCTGCTGCGAATTTCAGCCACGCGGCCGGAGGCCCACCCATGGGCACGACTGCTACCAGCTCGCCCAATTGCCTCTCCACTGGAAACCCATGCCTGGACTTCTTCTTCCACGTCGTCCCCGACACGCCGCCGGAGACTCTAGCCCGCCGCTTGGAGCTCGCATGGGACCACGACCCCCTCAAGGCCCTGAAGCTCGTCTGCAATTTACGAGCTGCCGAAGGCACCGGCAAGGCCGACGAGGAAGGCGGCCTCACGGCGGCCCTATGGCTGCACGCCAACCGACCTAAAACCCTAGCCCTCAATTTGGACTCCTTCGCGGAGTTTGGGTCCTCGAAGGACCTCCTCGAGATCCTCTACCGGATTCTAGAAGGTCCCGACGTACGGGAACGGATCGAACAGGAGCATAAAGAGTGGGTTCAAATGCAGCAGAAGAAAAGAAGGGAGAAAATGTGGCGGAAGCGATGCACAGCCGGCAAACCCGGAGAAACCAACCCAGAATTGAACTCCGGCGAACAAAAACGAGTCATCAGGAGGGATTCGAGAAAGCGCCTTTTGGAAAAGAGGCGTGTGAAGCGTGAGGCCAAGAGAGTCGAGCAGGCAAGAAGAGCCGTTGATAGATTCAACAACGATCCCAACTTCCAATTGCTACACGACCGTGTGTCCGATTATTTCGCCAGTAAGCTGAGGTCAGATCTCGAGAAGCTGAAAAATGGAGACCTTTCGAAAATCAGCCTTGCCGCGAAATGGTGCCCGTCTCTCGACTCGCCTTACGACAGAGTCACTCTTTTGTGCGAGACGATTGCAAAAAAAGTTTTTCCGAGGGAGGAGTTTCCGGAATACGAAGGAGTCGAGGAGGCCGAGTATGCGTATCGTGTTCGGGACCGTTTACGCAAGCAAGTGCTTGTCCCGCTTCGTAAAGCCCTCGAGCTGCCCGATGTCTTCATCGGGGCGAATGACTGGAAATCGATCAATTACGAGCGTGTGACACCAGATGAGTTGAGGCAGCGCAAGAGGGACTACTTAAAACACGACAAGGAGAGGTTTTGTAAGTACCTCGACAGAGTACGGAAAGGCGAGGTGAGGATTGATGCAGGGGATTGGTTCCCGCACAAGATAGCCACCGGACAGGTGGCAGAGCTTCAGTATTCGAGGATGTTGGACGACATGGCTGAGACAGGGAAGAAGATGAGTAGCTGCCTGGCGATTTGTGATATTGGTTCGTATGGTTCACGGAGATCGGTGGAGGTGGCGATTGCGCTCGGGATTTTGGTGTCGGAGTTGAGTGAGGAGCCGTGGAAAGGGAAGCTTATCACGTTGGGCGAAAAACCTAAGCTTCAAACGGTTGACGGGATTGATAAGATGAAGAAAAAGGCAGCGTTTGTGGAGGGGTTGTACGAGTGGGGGACGAAGGATCTTCAGAAGGTGTTTGATTTGTTGCTGAAGGTGGCGGTGGAAGGCGGGTTGAAACCCGAGCAGATGATCAAGAGGTTGTTCGTTTTTAGTTGGATGGAGTTCTCAAAGACGTCTATGAATGAGTCGGAAATGGATTACGAGGCGATTGTGAGGAAGTTTAGGGAGAAGGGTTATGGGGATTGTGTGCCGGAGATTGTGTTTTGGAAGGTGAAGGAGTCACGGGCCACGCCCGCTCGGGCAGACCAGCTTGGGGTGGCGCTCGTGAGCGGGCACTCGAGGAATGTGATGAAGGTGTTTTTGGAGGAAGGTCGGGTCTCGGATATGAATCCGGAGGCGGTTATGGAGGCCGCGATTGGCGGCAAGGAATATGAAGAGCTGGTTGTGTATGATTAATTTTAGGTTGAGTTTAGTGTATTGTATAGATGGTTTGAGTGAAGTGGTGGGAAGTGTGTGTGAATTTGTTAAGGAGGATTAGGGTTTATGTGGGAATGGTGTTTTCTGTGGTTGAATGTGGGTATATGTGACTGTTGGGATTTGTTTGGTCTTGTTGTCTTTGTTGATCTTTATTTGGTTTTGTTTCTGCAGAAAATTAAGCCTATTTGATTCATCTAAATTACCATATGATGATAACAATTATCTGTGTCCTCCGAATATGCATAATTTAATATTCACTTGATTAATAAAAATATATTGTGTGAGATAAGTATATTGAAGCCTTCATCCATATTGATATATTTTTTACTTTGTGAATTTTGCGTTGGTTTTTAGACAAGCATGATTTGAAATATATAGTTTAACTATTTCTTTTTTTTTTTTTTTTTTTT